TCAGCAGTCGGGTTAACTTCCTTAGCGACAGGTGCGAGCTCCTGAGCCATCTCTGTTGGCTGGTCATCCTTGAACAAGCTAGGAATCTCATTCATTGAGAGCATTGTTTAAGCTTTTGAGCGTTTAGTTCATTTTGTTGGGGGTCGTAGAAGCTTTGGTTTAGCTTGGCTCTTTGAGGGAAGAGGTTTCGGTTCTTTAACTAAAAGAAAGAGGAGAAACCGTGTAAATGATTTCGAACAAACTTTAATAAAGAGAAAATGGAAAGTAACACATACCAGATTTCCATGCTCGGCGTCGTAAAATATCTTCCCACGCCTCTGGCCAACGACGTTTGCCGGTCTTGCTGAAAGCTGTCTGAAACTCGCTTGGGAGTTTGGAATTGAGAAGAAAGCTTGGAAGGTGACAACCTGCTCAAACGACGGAACAAGGTTAAAAAGGCATATAAAAGCGGAGTAACAAAAAGTTTAGATCGTCTAAAACTACTGATTAGAATCCGCCACTCCGACTGGAAAGGTATATCGGTCTCGCTGACAGTGAGATTTTTAATCTTGAGAAAGAAGTAGTGTGACTCCCAACCATTGTATTTACTGGACTTCACACCAGTGACGATATCTCGCGAGCGCTTAACATTGGCTGAGAAGAACCACTCTTTTGTTGGGTGCAAGTTGACCGAAAAGAGATCCTCGAAAAGTCGGTTGGTTGGATCTCGGTTCAGCTCAGCACACAGCAAACTGTGCCCCGTGTAGTTTGTCACCAATGCTGGCATCATCTCCGAAACAGTCATACACCATCGATTGCAGTAGCCCAGTAGGGGAGCTGGGATCGGGAGCTTCAGCCCGCATGAGGTGAAATAATCCAGATAGACGCAAATGAAGTCTTTGGGAGCATCCCACAAGCGATCTCCAGCGTCGGGAGAAATAAAGGCAGCATCTTTCTATGAGTCTGACTGCTTCAAGCACAGCTCGGATCAGCTCTAGAGAGCAGGAGGATGCGGGCACATCTCAAGGACGGACAGTCGTCTGAGCTGGTACTGGTTCAGATGCGATGTCTACTGCTTGGACTGCGTCGGCCCCAATGCCAACCACAGCATCGACTCCTTCATTGAGATCTTCTTCTCCGAGCTCGTTATCTTCTTTGATCGCATCGTTGTCATCAACTTCAAGGTCCTTTTCATCAGCACTTGGAGCGACTTGGACTCTTGTTTCTCTAGCCTCATTCACCAAATGTTCGGGTGGCTCGACTGTTGCAGGAGGTCGGCTACTCCCAGCGTCAGCAAACCTAGAATTTTTATGAACTAAGGCCGGAGGATATCGTCCGACCTAGAATTTTTACGAACTAAGGCTGGAGGGATATCATCCGACCTAGAGCATCGAGAGGATGACGAAGGTTCTGAAGGATCACGACGGTTTTCGGGAAGGATTCCGTCGAAGGAAACACCATTGGAAGAAGAATTTGAAGACATTTCAGATCAAAAAGTGGAGTCGGAGAGAGAAAGATTGAAGAACAGGAAGAACATGATGAAGATAGATCGGAAAAGTTTGAAGATAGATCGGAAAAGTTTGAAGATTGATCGGAAAATTCAAGGAGTACGACGGAGAGAACTAAGAAATTAAACAAGCAAAAACTAGAGAGAGAAGCAATTCTAGAGAGAAGTGAGAGTGGCGTACGTTTTATATGCTGAAGCAGAAATGAGGAATGCGAAGTGAACTTCGCGTTATAAAGTAACAGTGGGAATCGTGGTTCCTCGATTTTTGCGACGTTTCAGATTTGACGCGCTACATTAAATTTGGGTTTTGGAATGCACAGTAAAATGAATCTACCGGATCTGCCGAGCTCGATTTGTTACTTAATTTTGAAATCAAATTCAAACAAGTTCAACATAAACAAACCCCTTTCGCCGAACTGAGGAGAGAGGGGGGGGCTAACTGTTGGAGGTAAAAACCGCACATCCGGTTTTCTCAGGTACAAACCGAAATCGGAATGAATTAAACCCGGTTGATGAAAGAATTGTACCTGACAGATTGGGCTGAGCAAGCTCCTGGACCAAATTTGACTTACGAATGTAGAGTCGGTAGAAAATTCTCAAAGGAATCGAGAAAGTTCTTAAGATCGGGAAAAAAAAGAAAACTCCCGAATGAAAAAAGAAAGCCTCGAGAGAAAAGAAAAGTTCTCTCAGTCCCATATCGAGGAGAAACCTCATATAAGCCGACTTAGGATACATATCTAAAGGGAAAGGAATCGACACCAGAAGACACAAGAAAATCCCAAGAGACTTGGAGATTAAGAGCAAAAAATATTTCGAGCATTTTAGTTTCCTTAAGTCTTAGTTCGTTTATCAATATCTTATAAACGAACTCAGTTGTACTTTTCCGATCTGATATTAATAAAACCAAATTTCGATCTAAATTTCAGTTTTACCCCTTTGTGATATTACATATTAATAATTAAGGAAAATACTTATGGATTAGATTCATACTTTTGGCTTTGTTCCACTCAGAAAGGTTTTTTTTGGGTTTGTAGGAGTAGTGATGCAAAGAAAGTTGAAGAATGTTCCTAAACAAAGATGTTGGATGGTTGGATCATCTAAAGTGAATAATGCAATTGAAATGGCAATTGAGTTTACTAACTCATGGGAGACTGATCTTAGAGTTGGCTCTCATGTTGTAGACATTATACCAATGGTACTATTACAAGACTTTCTTTTCTTTTTCTTTTTGGTTCATATTTGTTGTGGCAACAAAACATGCTAAAGCGTCTTGGTTTGTTTGTTTCATGTTTTCATTTATAGAGCTTGTACAACATCTTACCGGAGGAATTCAAATTGTGGAGCAACTCCAAAGAAGCTACATTAGTTAATATCCACCTCGATAGATAGTTGAAACATATGCTCACTTGTCTACCATTGTCGTTTGTTTTTTCCAATAAAGCACCAAATCCAACACCATTTTTTTTTTTGTGTTTTATGTTTGGTGTAACACTATTCACTACACCAAATATTAATGTATTTTTTTTCATTTACTAATATAATTAATTTTTCATTTATTAGTTAATTATATTTTGTAGGTTTGGGCATTTAGGTACCGTTGGGATTTGGGTTCGGATTACTTTTCGGATTTTGGATATTTTGGTACTATGATTAGATTTTGGAAAACATCAAGCCACACAGGAGATAAGTGTTTATATTCTTTAATAGAATATGGACTCCAAAATGCATTAATTGAACATTTATAGTCTGAATATGCAAAAAATGAGATTAGTACAATATAATTTATTTTTCGATATTTTTATTTCATCAATTGTAATAGTTTTTTTCGTTACTGAATGTAAGGCTATATTTAGTTTGTAGTTAATATATTTTATGAATAATTAATATTTATCAAAACTATTTAAAATAAAGTAAATTTTAAATTTAATAATATAATAAAAAATATTTTCTGGTTACAGATTTTCACCCAAAATACTAAATTTTACACTATTCACATCACCAAAATTGGTGCTAGGTTGCATGAAAATGGATACAAAACATTTCAAAACATCTTAATGTTTTTATAAAAATAAATGTATGAAAACGTTTGGAAACAAATATATATATATATATATATTACATTTAACAAAGCATTAAAACTCTAAAATATATTAATAATATATAAATGTATATTAATACAAATCCAGTATATAAATATTAATTATTTTAAATCAATATAAAAATCAAAATAAATATAAACAATCATAATATTTATAGTCAAAGACAATTTTACCATTTTATTTTTACCAGTTTTATCAGACCAAATTATCTATAACTCTGATTCATTGAGTAAAAGATCTTTAAACAAAATTTTCTGTAACTCTGATTCATGGTGTAAAAGATCTTCAAACTCAAGTATTTGTCTGCGAATCTGTGGTCCAGTTGTAAACAAGTTTTGGGAATGCGTTACAGCTCTCCCTTCCGGGTTCGAGCTTCCCTGAAAAGAAAATTCACATTTGTGTAGGAAGTATGGGTTTGAACCGAAGGCCTAAAGACACAAATAGTTTATAGTGTAGTCAAGTGACATGCGATCTGATTACTGCCAAGTCGGAAAGCATTCCAAACTCAAGATAAGCAATGTGGTGGTCTATTGGATTTCATAGATCTCATGGCTTGTTAACCCGAGTTTGTTTGACTGTTGAACCATTAAACCAGAGAGAAGTTCTACCAAAACTGACCAGATCAGCTGATAAGATTTATAAAAAAAATTCAAATATCTGAACATTAGTTTTATCAAATGAATCAAATTAACTATTTATTCTCATGCTAAGTTTCTAAATTGTTTGTTTTCAAAAACAAAATGCAAGTTTCCGTAGGATTTTCAACGCCTTTTAAATTGATACTAGGTGAGTACCCGCGCGTCGCGCGGGTCTTTTTCTAAAAATAATTGTTATTCTATAGTTTTCATATTTGTTTTTAATTTTTAATATTTTTATATTTGTATTTCCTAATGTAAGCGATACTATATTTAAACTGAGAGTGTACCCGTGATTATTATTGTGTTTTTAATTATCCTTAATTAGTTTTTGATGTATGTCTTCAAATTAGAATTAGTATGATAAAATTGTTATGTTATTGAAATGTGTGAATTTACTTTTGAACTTCATCAGGAATTGAAATGTATTAATTTTTAAAATATATTTTAAGAAATTATCCATATAACTGTACACAATTATAGGTAAACTAAACACTGAAATAATAATTTTATTAACTATTATTCATATTTTAAACTGCATTGTTTGGGTAGGATTGCTTGTCCACTCAGCCCTGCGCATAAGTCATTATAAATAAATCGTGTTATTAAGTAATTTGGGTATATTTTTTTCATATTTATTAGTTACCTGGTGTCCCATATGTTTCTTGTTGCATCTTTTGGGGTGCTGTCTCTACATATAATTATGTGTTAGAAAATATCATGTATTTGTTATTTTATATTTATATAAATGTAATTATGAACCCAATATATACCTTTTGCTTATGCATGAATATTATTGAATATCTCCTTGTAAACAATGTTTGTGATTCCTTTGCTTCCTGGTTGTTCTTTTTTTGCATTGTAGATTTTGAGTCCTTCCATGGATGTAACTCTTGAGAGAGCGACATATAATTGTCCGTGACTAAAAACTGGTTTAGGTAGATACAGACCAACTTTGTCCAGGCTTTGTCCCTGACTCTTGTTAATTGTCATACAATAACAAACTCGGACTGGGAATTGTCGTCTTCTCATTTTGTAAGGACATTTGGTGTCGGCTGTAGTCATGACAATTCTTGGTATAAGGATTCTTTTCCCAATATTTGTCCCTGTGAGTATCTCTGCTTCTATCACTCTCTCCCCTAACCGTGTTATCAACAACCTTGTTCCATTGCATAAGCCTTCTTTTTGGTTAATATTCCGCATCAGAATAATTGGTGCATTGAGCTTCAGTTGCAGCCGATGATTAGGTAATCCTGAGCATTTAAGACTATTTAGATACTCTGGTGTGTAGAATGTGTTCTTATCTTCTACATTTGTATCCTCACTTGCTATGCTGTCGGAGCTCAGATATTTTTTCATGTTGCCTTCTAGCTTTGACAGAATAAATTCGTTGATCTCATCAACGGTTTCATTTCTTGGGGTTAGAATTGCTCTGCCTCTTAGATATTCGTGATTGTTGAAAGAAGCATTGAAATTTGTGTATGTGGTTTTGAAAATCTCTTCTTCTGGATTTTGGGTTGAAGGTAATAGTAGATCTTTTGCCACTTCTATGTCATTTGTATCTGAATTTTTGGAATCAGATGTTGTTATTTTTTTGGCTGCTCCATCTCCCACTTCCAAAATCCACTTTGAAAACAATTTCTCCTCAGCGTTTAGACGCATGTTCTTGCTAAGGACATACACATTACGTTTTTCCCATAGATATGACCGATTAATAGATGCTGATACAGTATCCTGTCTATTGCCTTGAGGGATTACTGGTAAAATTTGTCTGAAATCACCACCTAACAATACTGTGATTCCCCCAAACTCTTTATCAGCAGCTTCTGGGTTTTTCATGCCCATGATGTCTCTTAGTGTTCGATCTACTGCCTCAAATGTGTGTCGGTGTGCCATAGGAGCTTCATCCCAAATGATAAGCTTTGTACGCTCAATAAGCTCTGCCAGCATTGTTCTTGGTTTTATGTCACACATTGACTCCTCGTGTAAATCTATTGGGATCTTAAACCGAGAGTGCGCTGTTCTACCACCTGGTAATAGTGTCGCAGCAATTCCTGAAGATGCTACGGGGAGGACAATTTGTTCTGTTGATCGTAGCTTGGCGATTATAGTTCTGTAAACATGTGTCTTCCCTGTTCCTCCTGGCCCATATAGAAAGAATAGTTTCCCTCTAGAGTTATCGATGGAATCCATAACTGCGGTGTAAATTGCTTGTTGGTCTGAGTTTAGTGAATCTAAGAGGGTGCTGTGCGTAACAAGTTCTTCTTTGATGTTGTACTTCCTCTCTTCGTCAAGCAAGGAGTTTGATAACTCGCTCATTATGTTTTTCTCGGGTTTTGGCATATCCGGAAAATCATCAAGTGATTTGTTACTTTGAATTAAGAGTCTCTGAAGCTCCACCAGTGTGTATTGCTGAATCTCCTTTTCTGTTAAGTTCCATTGGTAGAAATTCATTTTTTTGCGCTGTTTATATGTAATATCCTCGGATAAAACCTGCCAGAAATTTTGCCACAACTTTCCTGGCGAACTCACTTGACAGTAGACCAGTATTGTTACAAACAATTCTCTCAATTGCCACGCACTTGCCCAACCCGATGCCTCATCTATAGCTTCGTGCCATTCTTTATCTCCATCTAACAGACCCATCGCATTACATGCTTCCATAAATGTTGAGTATGTTTTGTCGCCAACTGTACGAATGTCCGCGAAGCTTGTTTTCCCTTTGACATGGTTTAGAATCAGCCTTAAATAGTACAGATCTCCTGCTGATGGGTGGATGTTCACAATTCTCCCTATTGTTGTTCCTCTTTCCCTTAGTGTCCATATCTTGTTTGATGTGTTCCAGACAAACATGATCGGAAACTGGACGTATGTAATATCTTGTGCTTCCTTATAGTGTTTATTGGCTTCCATCCATTCTGTGAACATTGTGCCTCTTCCTGCCATCCTTGCTTCAATATTTTCTGGAGAATCACTTTCATCAAAGACTACATTCTGTTGCCCTTCTAAATGTATTATTAGCTTTTGAACAGCTGGTCTTTGTTCGTGGATTTCAAAACCAAAGATCCGCCATGAAGCCTCATGTGCTGATAGATATCGGCATTCCTGGTAGTTCTTTATCTCATCTACCTCGACTTCTTTTTCAGTTGTGTTTCCTACTTGCTGAGGTGCTCCTTTTTTCTCGATAATAATTGTTGCTTTGTCAACGCCTTTCGTTATGTACTTAAAAAGGTATTTAATAGCTTTAGAAGTACAACACCATTCCACATTTATGTGTGCTCTGTATTTTTTCATCAAATCCAAGTTATGCGGAATGACATACCTATTGTCAAGAGTGGTATCACTTTTTTGAACGGTGTTCAGTGGGTCTTCTTGGCGTCTGTAAATTATGTACCCATTTTTGTCGCAGGATGTGTTTTGGGCATAAGGTCGTGGATATTTTTTGCTGCAAATCCCATTTTCCATGCATGGAGACTGTGGTCTATCTAGTCCACATGGACCATGCATCATGTGTTTTTTTACTAACTCATATCCTTCTGCATCTCTTTCTTTATCTGGTAGTTCTGCTGATATTATCTTGTCAATAACATCAGGTGAGGGATTTTGGATTGAGTTTTGCAACCACAAGAGGATGTGGGCATGTGGAAGGCCTCTTTTCTGAAACTCGATTGTGTATACACCTGTTTATTTATTTTTTTGTTATTTAATTTAGTTGGCAATAATTAATTATAATTTAAATTGAAGATTTTTTAATATAATTTATTGTATTTTAGTACATAATACCTGCACGGAAGTCTCCAAAGAAAAGCCCTTTCTTGAAATCGCTCATCATTTCATTAAGTTTCATTTTGAACACACGTGAAGCAACGTCTGGTCTATCATTACATGATCCATTTCCACACTGTTGGAGATGCTCTTCTATTTCTGGCCATGCCGGATTTGCTGTTATGGTAATGAATAGGTGTGGATTACCATAAGTTCGGCAAATTGCCATTGCGTCGTGGTAATTCTCGAGCATGTACCGTGGTCCTCCTGTAAATGATGCAGGTAGTATGATTCGTTTTCCCAATGTTTTAGAATCTGTATCTCCTCTTCCTACTGCATCGCGGACGTTGTTGTAGAGATCGGCTCTTAATTTTTTTTGGTTGTTTCTATTGAACCTCAGTCGCTCTTTTTCAACAGCGGTGTATGCGTCTACGATAAATTGGTGCAGTAGCCTCCCGCCTAGGATAAGGGTTTTCCCTTCAGACAACCTACTCTGGATTTGGTATGAATAGTACTCTCGAATAGTAACATTTTCTCTCTTAATTTTAGGCCCATTTGTTGGTTTGTATGGAATATTCAAGTGGAAGCCACTTTCTCCATATGGGAAAAGCAATGGGTACTGGAGGGCCATATAATGTTGGTGGAGAGTGTTTATCCTCTGTAAACCATCCGTTTTTGATTGTACTAAGACATCTCTGTGACCTGTGGAAGATTCAAAATTGCCTACAATGGGCCCTGCAATTTCATCGCCTGTGGGAAGATCATATTGTCTACCCTTCTCTTTTTGCCCAATAAGCCGTATTGACAGCTCTTCTATTTCGCCAGCTTCATATTTATCCCTAGCTTTTCTAAACTCCTTTGTTAGTTGATTATTTGCATCCAGCATTGAAATAAGGTCACCAACTATCTTTGCATCCAGTTTTTCAGACTCCTTTTTTCTTGACATAGTGCTTATCCGGTTCTGAATTTCGTTGGCTGTATCATAGATGTAGAGTTGGTTGAATTTTGGGGCTTGTCCCTCTTTTGGGAGGAGTGGGCCTATGCGATGGTGATTTTGGCCGTGAATCCGGAAGGTAAATGGCCCGTAACCATTCATAACCGACTGATCAATCTTCGCCCCAATTGATGTAAACGCCAAGATGGAATTGTAAACCCTGATATTTTCTTTGAAGTGAGGGGTTGGCAGCAGATCTTGTAACTCCATTGGTGTTGGTCTTATTCTTGGCAGAAGAACTCTTCCCTTTTGACAGCATATTGTAAATAGTGGTTGTCCCGAAGTTGATCTCTCGTTGCTTTCTGCTTCCCATACCAAAGCTCCACAATTGAAGCATTCTTGTAGTTTATTAGGTTTATTCCTATTTTGCCTTTGTATGGCTATTTTTATACATAGTTGTGAGTTAATTTCTACGAGATTTTATATATATAGATATATATATGTATATCGGAGGGGGGAAGTGTTGACTTACGGCGGCCTTTGTTTGTCATTGGTTTCTTTTTTGATGGACCAGCAATATGTTTTGATTTTGGTGTCGGGGCTATTAGCATTTATTGGAGGTGGAGAATATAAGTACGAAGAGGATGTTATGATTAAAATGATCATGTTATGGTCTTCTAGTAATTTATTATTTGTAGTTTTTTTAAATTTAGTAATTTGTTACCTTTTTCCTGACACCTGTTTTTTTTCTCCTTAAGAATAACGCTTCTCCTTCTCCTTGCTTCTGCGCAAACATCTGCAAAATAAGTTAGGCCTGTTTTTAAGTTTCTTTATTAATAATATCTGCATATTTCTGAAGTTGTAATTCAAACCTTTGTGTCCTGGGCCTTCTGGCTTAGTTGAGGGACATCCAGATTTCGATGACGTCCCAATTATGATGGAGTTTCCTATATGATTGTGTTTGATATTGTTAGCATTTTTTGCGGTATTTGTTTTGGGTAGCAATGTTTGTTAAATATTGTATTATTTATGAGGACAATTATGCATATGAAAGCTACAGGTGTTAAACGTTTTCGTTTTGGGATATAGTAATTGTGTCATGTAGACGTTACGTCTCTTGTATTACACCTTTGTTTGTATTATTTTTATTTTAATTTGTTAAATAAGTTCATGACTAAAATTTTGCCTTCTCTCCAGCTATATATCTTTATATTTTAATTACATTTTTATGGCCTCTTTGTATTAAGATATGTAATGTGATGTAGGTATATGTTTTGAGTAGATAAATGTAGTTGTATATAGTTCTATGATGTTATATTGGTTACTATTATGTACTTTTTCCCTTTCATAAATCAATGAAGACAGTTTTTGCGCAGCATTTAATTTACGAAGCAGTCCCTGGTAAGCAGACTTACTTTTACATTCGCGGTTAGTGTTTATTATCTGCCGTCTTTTTGCTCTGTTGTCTCTTGTATCCTTTTTGGAAGATTCGTCCAACTCTCGTTTGCGTGTATCCATCACCCTTCATGTATACAAATTTGTAGTGTTATTTTAAAACCCTTGTATAATATGTAACCGTCCTACAAATTTAAACATTCCCTAGTAATATTTCATTCATTAAGATTGAATTTTTTGTTCTTAGAAAGCTTTTTTTCCCTTCCTCATGGTCTACATTTCATTAGCCTAACATGATACATCAAAGATATCAATCGGGTACTTAACATGTTTTGGTTTGCCTTGTTTGAAGTATTACGCATACAGTCATACAGAAATATCAATTAAAATTTAATTAATGATAATATGATGTGGGCATAGTTACTTGATAAGGTATGATTGTCAGCTGGTGGTTTTCTCGCCAATGATACCTTATTTATTTGGTAAGACCCTTTGGAAGTGCATCTCGTTAATCCTGTTTGTTGTGTAGTACTCATGTTTATTTATTTTTAAATAAGTTTTCTTATTATATTATACACCATATGTAAGAATATAAGAGTTGTGATAAAATTACCCAATTTTCCGATGTATTGCCCCCTTCCTTATATCTCGCTTTCTGGAGTATGCTTGCAATTGTATGTCTGACCCAAATATTGTTCTCACTTATGCTCTTTTTTATTTCTTTACAAATCCTCTCCAAACGGAGGCTTTAAAATTCTGCTTGAGGTTTTCCAGTGGGTAGTTAGGATTGGGGGGTTTTAAAGTGAGGATTGTTTATACCATTTATTAACTATGACAGTTACTTTCTAACATACGTTTGTATCATTTAGAGCTGTCTTTATTTCTTCGCCGATAACATGGTTTCAGTTTAATTGCCTCTTAGGTGACCTTGTTTCTAAATCATTCAATTCTGACCTATTCAGCGGTAATAAACCGGGCACGGTATGATTCTGTTTGGGTCTTTTATTTTACCGCGTACAAGTACGTTTTATTTAATGTCATTGGCCGTTGTACAAGTATGCAACCGTCAGTGTGGTCGTTGACCGGCAAGGGTTTCGCTTAAAACGTCTTGGGCATACGACGTTTAGAAATCTCGTTTTTCTTTCATTTTTTACTCTTGCTTGTTTAGAAGAGGTCATATATGACTGTTAACGTATTTATTATATGTGTAATTAGTAGTTACTAACGTCAGTTTTGTATGGGAATAGTAGAGTAGATCAATTTGTAACGTTTTTGGTTTCATTGGTGGTTAAATAGGAGTTAATAAAAGTTAATAAGGTAATTATTGGTGGAGGAGATGTGAGAATTTCGGTTTTGATGGGCAGAGGAAGATTAAAGTGCATTAGCAGTGTTCCCTCATCTCATCAGCCACTAATAATTGTACAAATACATATTCGAATATTTAAATTAGGGGAAGGTTTAATTGGAAAGACGAAAATTGAAAATGGCTTCAGTTTCCATTAAATGATCATTTGGTCATTGGTATGTTATTATAACCCATATAGTTTTTTTGAAATCAAACAATAAGTTGGCAACTAATATTTTTAAAATTTTTTTAAATCATTTAGAAAAATATCAGATCACGGTATTCTAATTTTAATGAGTATTCATCCTATGTCATATTATTAGTAACTGGGTAACATATCATTCTAATATAGCATGTGTTTGTTCGTCCCTCGCGAATATATATGCAGCACTTTGTGAGTCATTAATCATTACGAAAAACTTAAGAAGCTTCATGAATTTAACTTTGTTAGAGGTGAAGATGACGACTTGACGTTTGTAAATACATAGACTGATATAATATAAAGATTAGTATTGTAACATATGCATATATTCACTGATGGCTTATATTATTGTTAACTGTTTAAAATACTGAGCATTGAATTAATTTCATAGAACACCAATAAAATTAATTTTGTGTACAGATAAAACCCTATTTTTTAGAGATGGATCCAATTTTAAATTCTAAACTATCAATTAATTTAGGTATACTTATTTCCATAAAGAATAATCGTAGCATTATAATTAAATGTGGTCCAAAAAGGCTTCGTACATATACTAAAATGTTGTTTTCACATCATTGAATAAACATTGTATTTTTCAAATTTAGAAAACATAATAGTGTTCTCTGCTTGTTATGCGTTTTTTTTAAATGGCGTACTGACATTTATATAAAACCTTTCATAGTAGGTACATATTTGAGACAAGGCATAGCTTAGATAAGCAACTGTTGAAACTAATAGGTGCTGCAAATCTGATTCATGGTAACCAAATCGTCTGCCCTTGGGCTCTAAAATTTAAAATAAACTCTGTCGTCGTAACAATGTCTACATTTCTTTTGACTTAGTTGGATCGTCGTTTTTTGGTCTTTGGAGATGCCGCAATAGCTGGCTTAAGCTCTGTTTCCAAACTTTTTGATTCCTCGTTCTTAACCGTCATGCTTGTCCTTGCTATTCCTTGGGGTGCCTAATATATTTAAGTGTATTTAGTGTTGTGGGCACATATTTTGAATGATACATTGAAATAATAACGGTGAAAAATACCTCTTTCTTGCACTCAGGTAAACAGTTCAGGATCTGGCCACCACAAATTCCATCTGTCTTTGCTGTATCCATTGTCCCAGTAAATTGTATACCATGTTTTATCTTCAACGGACCTTGGTCCCCACTTTCTTCTAAGATCACATCTTCTGAATCCTGAAATCATTTCCGGTTTTTTAAATTTCATCTACCTGTTTATTTAGTTTCAAAAATAATTTTTTTTAACCTCATGAGCTATCTCTGCATCTTCACGTAGAACTCTAGTGACGGTAAATGTTTGATATGACGTAGTGAAGTTGTAATTCGTGATTTTGATCTGAAATTCCATCGCCTTTCCTACAATATCTGTAATACAGTGTGGTATTTCCGCATGGTTGTTGCCGTCTTCTTCATTTGTGCCCTGTTCAATAATTTTGAATTAATAATATATATTCTTAAATATTGTGTTGGCTGTGTTTGAGAGATTGTGTAACAATATTTGAAAACTTCACCATGAGTAAACTGACTTCTTCAGCATTTCTGTTGTTAATTTCTTAGCGGCTCTATCAAAAATAACAAAGTTTGTACCTCCTGTGGAATCCTCAACCACTACCTCCACTCTGAATCTGGAAAATTCCATGACGAATTCAATTAATAGTAAACTGTACTTAAAAAATTTTGAATATCTAATTATGCTCAATATAAATGATTTCTTACTTCATCACTCCAACTGCATTTGTGGTGTGGCATGTGGAACATGAGAAAGATGTATCACCACGAACCAATTTTTTAGAGCATTTTGCACAAGATATGTAGAACCAACCATTGCGTGAACAAATGGAAATGACCTTAGCTTTACATAAAACCTCCTTTTCCTATAATTGTTAAGTCAAATTTGGTGCAATTCCTTTAGAACTTGATGCCTCAATTACACCTCTCAACTTTGTTCAACAGGGGAAAAAAGTGCTTACTTTTCTCACCGTAGACCTTGTGTACTCTAATAATGTTTTGATTGACAATCTTTCCATGTTTGCTTCCTGTTGCCGGTGGTCTTCTAGAGACGGTGGGATTGTGTGATCAGTAATGCCCATCCTTGCATGACAAGTTGTTTTGTTTACATATTTTAAAATAATTACATTAATAACCTACGTAATAGAGTAATATGTAGAATGAGATTGGATTTTCAATAAACTTACTTTTCCATAAATTGCCTCACCACTTTTAGATCTGTTTGAAAGTAGAATTTTGATGCTCCCGTGCTATTCAAGTACATTGTGCCTAGTTTTAAATTTAGTAAAGTTAGTTATGAATCAGTATAACAATATCAGGGTGTTGGGTTTGTGAGCGTTTTACCTGCAAAAAGTTTGGGGTTCATACATGTGCAAACAAGCACAACACTTTGTCGGCCACATGATAGATACTGTGATCGGAAATCAGCTGCTTGGCCATCCCAAATTGTTAGTCGCACAGTAGTACGTCTGTAAAACAATTTAAGAAGATTATATTATTACATATTTTTTGTTATATTTGTGACAATATCTGTGTAGCAAATGATTTAGTTTACAAATTATTGTAGTTGGGAAAACGTGTTTTTAATTCATAAGATTTCTTTATGTTAATGTGTCTGCTTTTTAATTTAATTGGGTACAGTAATATCTATTCTTTTCAATGTTAAATGTTGTGTTACGTTGTTGTGAACGTTATATGTTGTTCATAAATAAGGTGGCTATAATCGTAATATTTCTGATTGAAAAACTTACTCGCTCAGCAAAAGAAGCAGCACAATTTTTTGGCTAGAGTTTGGGTCTTCTAGATTTGGCCCTTGAATGCTTAGTATCTGGCCAACAACATCTGCATACAAGTATGGAAAACAGGGTTGTAAGTAACTTTTCCAGTCGGCACATAGTTAATATTATATTGGAAGAATCGTAATCGTAATACATGTTATATTATAACGATGATCACTTAAAATTTTCAGGGTACCCCTTAATTGCATGTTGGTATTTGCTAGTGCCATGTACTCAGCATATGTGGACATTCTGAAGAACTCCTGTTTGATGGGCCTTATTATGTTTTCCTCAATCGTTACTTCAGTACTGTCAGTGAATCTTATGGAGTTCTTATTGTCCGTCACCTTGTAGCGGTCATATGCGGGTATGACTTCAAAGTTGGTGATTTTGTAAATTTTCCCAACATGAAGGTGGTTTTTGAATTGAGGTATTCGACGATGGTGGATTGAGGCTTGGATAAGGGAGTCCTACATTTGTTGTGGTCGTTGTCAGTTTTGTCAATATCTAAAATGTGAAAGCTGTTATTGACCAGTTTTAGTTGTTATGATTACCTCACAATCAAGAAGAAGCATGTCCAGACTCATCAATTCCCCATTTTTTTTGAAGTTGCGGGCCTCCCACATTCGCATAAGACGGATTGTGATATGTCGCATACTCGTGCCGGTTGTGAGATTCGCAAGGGTGGTGGAAGCATGTTGTTGTTCTGGTGGAGAGGAAGCACGGGCATCCATTTCTGGTCTTACTGTTTATGTACCTGCAGTTCTATAGAGTAGATTAGGTGGGACAGTTTGTGGATATTTATATAAATCTATGAACCGTGCAGCATATAGAAGGGGGAAAAAAGATGAAGGGGTGTGAAAGGAGGAGTTGTATTACGTGGTTTATTGTTGACTCTCAGCTCTCAGTATTTTTGGTGGGTTTTGGTGATGGAGTGACGGTATTTATAATTTTAAGGGTGTGTGAGACCGTTTTGCTAACGGTTACTATTACTGATAGAAGATGAATCAATCTTGAAAATAATGTTTAAATTAGTGACAAAGTGGGGTCGGTTAACAACTTCTGACATTCCCTTTTCTTAAACCCTCTAATTTTAAGTTAATATTGTTCAGGTATTGTGGCCTTCTTACATTCCTGGTGATCGTATGTTTTAATACCTTAAGGGAAGGCTTGTTATGACAAGTTAATGTGAAATCTGATGTCCTTAATTTAGTATTGCCTTTATGTTCTGTAAACGATGTTTAATCATGGAAGAAAATATATCTACCTCGTAACTTGTTTCTGTCTATTCAGCTTCCCTGCAATAATAATGTATTTAAAATTATTAGTACGTGACGTTAGTGTTTTCAGGAAATATACATTACATGCATGGGTGTTTGTAGTCATTGATTATGTATTTCTGAGTTTACTCACAGCAGGAAATTTAAAACTGAACCGGTTGTTTTTTGTGCACATTTAGTTGGACCATCGGAAAGGATGTAGAATTTAAATGACATTTTACTTCCCGCATATATGTATTTTATATTTCCAAAAATCTAATATTTTCTTGGTTTGTAGGCCCTTTTGCTCTATTTATTATGCATGATTGTGTGTTTATATTAATATGTTAGTTAGGATGTATTGTATTAACGGTTTTGTGTAAACGCAGGTTTTTATATTTTATTTTTCTACTATATTGAACTAAAATCTTTGTCATTTTTGGTCATTATTTTGTGAAAAAGGAATTTACGGTAAGAACACTGTATCTTCTAGAAAACATAAGGTACATAAGTGTCGTAATGACAATATACTATTATGGATTCATGGTATTTTGTACCGTAATTGTTTTTGTGGTTTTTACAAGAGTGTATCTGATCCTTTTTTATCTAATTTTTTGGGCCCTTTCGAGGTTTTTTTTTAAAATTTTTTTTGTCTAATTAATTTAAATTTGGCTCTACTTCTCGGAGGGAATAGGGGACTCGTTGTGTATTTTGAATGGTGAATCACATGTAATTACAGTTCAATTATAGTTTTTCTTATTACACAATGGGCACCACTTCTATAATAATTACAAACAGAAGGCTGGTGTTTTGGTAATCATTTTTTCTAAACCGGTGTAAATATGAATTTAAAAGCAAGGACTAATTGTGAGTCTTGTACGATAATTATCAGTAAATCCGTACTGATTAGAAAGCGTGGTTTGAGTGTTTGTTTTGTTGGCCTGTTATGTTAGCTGGGTAAATTTGTAAGGACATATTTGAAACTTGAAATAGAAATTTCAGATATATTAAACACAAATAGATATTTAGTAAAACAAATGGTGAAATGGAGGGGTGTTTAACAACGTAATAGGGTAATTCCAAAATAAGATATGGAAAACTAATATTTTGAAATTACATTTCATACTCTTCCTAAATTGTGTAAACAAATTTGATCATTTGTTTGTAATAATAGCACTTCTCGCAAGTATTTTCCATGTCATTTAAGTTGCAAACATATGGAGGCATCATTGCCCATAGTGAGTGTGCATATTCTGGCTTCCTTATGATTCCAATCCCATGAACACCAGTTTTAATATTCTTCCAGCATAGGTCTGCTACTGATTTGTCTTCCTTCCACCCAAGCTTGTCCAAAAACTCTTTTCCTACTTCATATTCCCCAGTACATAAGTTGATTATGCCATAGAGATAAACAGCCTCTTTGATTGGACTTTTGTGCTTTGCAGCCACCTTCAAATGATTCAAGCCTTCAAGAGGATTGCCGAAGTAAAAATACTCTAACAATCCTTGAATGTAGTGTGCTGATGGGTTGGAATGCTGTAAGCATTTAGCAAGTAAATCTGTATAATTGCCTATAGCCAGCAATGGTGTTTTTACAATATCATTGAGCTCCAATGTTGCTAGGACCTGAACATCATCAGCTGATTTTCCAAGTACCTTGCATGTTAGCATGGCATTTTTAACATCAACACGTGATGTCTGACCAGCTAAGCCTAGAATTTTGGAGAGAATGTCTTGAGGGAGGTAGGAAAGCGAGGGTGTAGGTTGGTTTGATTTTTTCATTGTAGCTGTAATATTATTGTTATAACTTGTATTAAAAATTGTATGGTGGTTGGTGTTTTTTGGACGAGTTTGGCCACCGCTTTTATAGGGTGAGTTGTCATTAGAAATGGGTCGAGGTCATTTAATATCGGGGACTAACCATATTCTATATAGTAATTGGGTTTCGTTTTAGGCATTAATATGGCTGTTACCCAATGCAGTCCATTTATATTCACATGCAGAGAAGATATAGAGTTCTAAACCGCTGATTTCTCATTACAAGTGAATAATAATTTCACATATTAAATGATTATAATTGTTTTAAATCACATTAAATTTAAATTAAATACATGATGGTATCAGGTCAGAGGGGTGTTTGAAATTCACCAAGAAATTACCAAAGAAGGCCCCAAATTCAAAGAGGAGATGTTTTAGGAATTAAGGATACGTGTGTTTTCTTTAACTTAAGAGTAATGAGGCACCATAGTGTTGGAATAAAGGGAAATGACATTGGGTTATATATTTTGGCGTTTTTTAGATTTCCCTTACGGCGGTTACTATTATTATTTCCTTCTTAATAATAATTTTGACTCTTTCTTGAACTTGCTTAATAAAGCCGAATCAATCCCAAAATGTTCAATCGACGCCAAAACATAGGGATTTGTCATTAATATACCTAAACTATAGTAAACTTGGAAATGCACCCTTCAACTTCTTTTTCTCAGTTGCAGTTCATCCTTTAATTACCAGGAATTATAATATGAATTTAATTGTCTATAATTTTCCCCTACCAAAACCTTGTTGATGGAGTTAGCCGAAAAAATCCAGGCCGGATCAAGTATAGTGAAATGTTTACTTAAAATTGTACCTATGTTTACAATTGTGTAGGTACTTATAGCTTAGCTATTATGAGACTCAATAGTTTAATTGTATAAAGAGTTATTAGTTGTTATTTGGGTTACAAATGATAATCTGAAATTAAAAATTAATAATGCGGTTGTGATAAATTGATATGAAATGAGGAAGTAGTATACAGTCTCCAACTCAGGTATGATATTGAGCGAGTGTTTTGAGTTTGTTCTTTTCCGGATAAGTATAGTATCAGAATTGTGACAGTCATTTGTTCGTAAATTAGACGAAATGTTTTTTTCCGGAAAGAAATAGCAACTAATATGGATGTGTACGTGAAATTGGACAAAACTATCATCAGCAAACACTAATTTTTCTCAAAACATCCAGAGACCCCTGGGTAATGCTTGAAAAACGATTTCCATATGTGTTGTTTTCCTTATATGATTAAAGTTTTTAAGGTGTCTGATCACTGGGTTTTCTCAGTTGAGGTGGCAATCTAGGGAAAAAAGGGTCGTGTGTGTAGTACAGAGAATCACATAATGATTGAAGCTAGATAATTGTATTATTTTGTTTTTTTGTTTCCTCAGAATTGGCTTTTGTGGGCATAGAATATATCATATATATGAAATCTGATACATTAGAGTTTCATAACAAGACATAGATAAAAGAGGACCGAAATGATAATGGGATAACTTAAGATATGCTAAAATGGAAACATAAGAATTTCAGAATGGGCATGTAGTATCCTCGCTGATGGGAATTTTTCATGCAACTACAGATGGTGTAGGGCGCCTTTGGTTAGATACGGTGGCTTTTAGTATTTTTGTTCCCCACTTCCGGAATGATAAATGATGAGGTACTTGCAATGTTGGCATTGTGATTTAAAGACTGCATGGTGTTATCATTCTCTGCATTGCCCGCTGTAAAAGTAGGCTACAATTTTGAAGAATAACACGTGTTATTGAAGGTGGTAGATTTTTACCATAAAAACAAATGAAATGCATTTCAGAAAATGTATGGCTAAATTGACCTGACCAATATTGGTTTGGTTTCTGATCTTTGCTACTGTGAAGCTGCGGTTTGTGACGGCATAGTTTTAAGCGGTTACCTTGACCTGGAAAATTAATGAATTTCCTATGATGTCTTCAAGGTAGTCACTCAAATCTGGGAATATTTCTTCTTTGACCTGTATATTATGTATATCAGAATAACCAATATTAATAAATATGAGTAGGTTTTAAATATTAAGAAAATATTAATTAACCTTCTTGCATAAAAGGTCATATGCATTTGGACAGAGAAGATCAATGAACGCATCGTTTGGCATCAAAAAAGTGGCTATATCTCCCCCGTCTAGTACAGCCAATGGTACATAAAACCTGAGTTATATTTAGACATGAAGATTATTAGTTGGGACTAAAATAAGTTTTAATGGTATTTTCCTTTAATATATACCTCTCATCTCTGTAATAATCATCTTCATGACATTGAGCACAAAGAAGACTGTTGTCATCAGCTTGTAAGGTGCCAAGACAATTTCTGCATGACATGTGGTTCCACCCATATGTTGATAAAACATCTACAACTGTAGCTTGGCAGATGAAGTCAGCGTCCTTGATTCTCTGTAAATAATTTTAAGCAGTTTTGTATTAATTAATTAAACAAACTAACAGACATGAAGATGAGGCGTAGAGTAGACCTGAAAATATGCCTGCGCAATGAATTCAGTGAGGTCTGCAATTGTCACACTTTCTAGCTTGTGAACATTAGTAGCTATGTCGTAAATAGTAAAACCTTGGCTTCCTTGGATCCCAAAACTGAAAAAGAAAACATTGTATTATTTCTTATATATTTTTATTAAAGTAATTGATAATAGAAGACAATAAGGCACCGCTTTGAGAAATCAGATATTGGTTTGATGTTTTTGTCAAAAAAGAATTGGGTGGACATAGTGGAATCCAAGTAAAGCATTCCTGTATAATAAAATGAGTGAACAAATTGATTTCAGATGTTTGAAGTGAATTAAACAGATTTATAAATGAAAGTAGTCATACCTTCAAGGAGGGACGGGTTGAGCGATGTAACCACAGCAACAGATTTAACCTCGCTAGGTGTATTTAGTAAACCCCGAAATCGTGAAGCTGTATCACCCCACAATGACAGAGAAATTGTAACATTTCTGTGCAAAGACAGTGGAATGATTAGTTGTAAGCAAATAGTATTTTGTTTCTATATCCTTGAAATTCCTAAATAGTAAGGGTAGTGACTAACGGTAAGAGGTTCAAGCGAATGAGAACCCGATCTGTAGAAGTTGGGTTATGAAGATTGGTTCCTTCAACTGTTGTGATTTCGCCAACAACATCTAAGGAGTTCAAATTTTTTTTTGTATTAAAAAATAGGAAAAAGGTAAATTAGTTTACAACACCAAAACTTTTGTGATTATTTTTTTGTGTTTAAAATCTAAAATGTATCGTTATAGGTTTCAAAAAATTTGCAATGTGTTTCAAAAATCCAAAATAGAAAGTTTGCCATAAATTTAAAATAATTAATTGTAAAAATAAATTTTTTTTTGAGAAATATACCAGGGAGAGCAAGGTTTGTGTTTGCCAACGCAAGTAGATGGTCGTAGCCTTTAATCCTAAATTTGTACTTGGCTATACTCAGCCATGTGTTGCTGACATCCACCAAACTGGTGTTCTCGGTGAAATTGATGACTAATGGATAGTCTGTCACTTTGTGGTGTTTAGTGCAGCCTTGCACTTCAAAATTGTGAATTTGGAAAATTATCCCCTCCCTTAAATCAGCATAATATTGTCCCACAAGTTCCTCGGAGATGAAGCAATGGATAGTTGTGTTCTGTGGAAAAAGTAAAATGGTTGATTACATATGTTAGGCTTAAGGAAACAAAATATTTAATAGGAATAGTATAGTAAATACCGATTCATCAAGCAGGAGAAAAGAGATTCCTTTGAAATCTTCATGATTGGTTTCATTACGAACCGTCCAGAATTTCAGCATGCGGCCAACAACATGTTGTGCTTTCAGACCAAGACACAGATCTTCAAAGACAACATAAGGACCAATGGTTTGAAGTGAAAAATCCATTGTCTTTTTGTTTTGATATGGAATGAGTAATTTAGTGAGTGATTGTTTTTGCTGGGGTTTAAAACATTGTGAAGGAGATGGGCAGAGTATTTAGTATTTATAGTTTTGTGGATTTGTTGTAGTATTTAATAGGTGTGTTAAAGGTATTATAAAGGAAATTTGTGTGGGAAGTGTAGGAGTCTTTCTTTCGAGGTGAACGTATGCGTGAGTCAGAATTGAAGAGGTCATATATGACTGTTAAAGTATTGAATATATGTGTAATTAGTAGTAACTAACGTCTGTTTTGTGTGGGAATAGTAGAGTTGATCAATTTGTAACGTTTTTCGTTTAATTGGTGGTTAAATATGAGTTAATAAGGTAATTATTGGTGGAAGAGATGTGAGAATTTCGGTTTTGATGGGCGGAGGAAGATTAAAGTGCATTAGCAGTGTTCCCTCATCTCATCAGCCACTAATAATTGTACAAATACATATTCGAGTATTTTTATTAGTGGAAGGTATAATTAGAAAGACGAAAATTGAAATGGCTTCAGTTTCCATTAAATGATCATTTGGTCATTGGTATGTTCTTATAACCCATATAGTTTTTTAGTGGAAATCAAACAATAAGTTGGGAACCAATATTTCATATTTTTTATTAACTATTTTGAAAAATATCAGATCACAGTATTCTAATTTTAATTAGTATTCATCGTATGTCATATTATTAGTAACTGGGTAACATATTTTGCTTGTCGTTGTTATATGTATGGCTATGAAATTCTGGTAATGTTTACTCATTTGTTGATGGCATGCCGTAGTCTTATACTTTGGTGGGTGTAATGACAATTTGCCAAATATAGGATAATGACAGTGAAGGCATGTTTTACAAAACGTAAAGTAAATGATCGCCGACAATCTATTCATGAAAAACTTGTTTTCTATTGGAGGTTAAGTAATTACAGAATGTTTATATTGGATCAAAAAGATATTGGTTCTTTCACTTGTTGTTATGTGAATAAAATTAACTAATTTAGTCTTACACGTAGCTAATTATTGGGTGGAGTAGGAGTTCAATTTTATTTGTGACGTCGACTTTTAGTTACACAAATTTGGGATTTTTTTTGGTAAAACACCAATTGTGTTTTTAAAAATAAATTAGGAAAATTACCAGATAAGAATTAAAGATTTACATACTCACTGAGTTATATAGTGTTATGTTTTGAGGAGTATAAGTTAGGGGAAAAATTTGTGTAATATAGTTAGAGAAGTTGGGAAAATAACATTTTTTTGATGAAAATGGAAGAGGGATCGTGTGCGTTTCCTACATCGCTTGGAGAAAGGAAATGAAGGTGCTCTAACAGTTGATGCTATTGGTTGTTACTAAGGACTTTTTAAGAGATTTCTTAATATTTTTATAACTTTATTCAAGATTTTGTAGTGAGTGTTATGTATGCAGGGGTATAAAGTTCCTAAATAAACTTGTATAATTTACTTAGAGAAGGAGGGAAAATAACATAAATTTGATGAAAATGGAAGAGGAAACAGCAAGTTTAAGCGTTCAGACATTATAGTGTGACTAAAGACCACTGGTTGTTATTAAAAAGAGGATTTACGAAAGGAATAGCCAGACTGAAAATAAGGTACCAAGAAAACAAAAGTAAGGTAGAATATAGAATAAAGATGTTGATGAAGTTCAGTAGTCATAGTATTCATTGCTTTCACGGCCTTCTCATATACCATTTACGTAATTTCCAATACATGAGAGAACAGTCAGACCCAATGCCTGTAGTTGTTTAGGTGAAGCCCATGAAGTAGCTTCTGCCATTGCACCATAGTATTCAGCAATTGTGTCAAGTACATCTGTAGCATAGCTGGTGTCTCCTCTTGCTATTGAAATCCTCTCTTCTTTTTCAATCCAAGCATGACTTTCTTTATCCCAGTAAAACTTTATTGGGTATTCGTAGGATGTCTTCTCGAGTATTTCTCCAAAAGCTTTGTTTCGATGAATCCATAATGCAAAAGTCGAAATTCTTGGACTGACCAAATTGGAAGGGTACCTCAACATGGCTTCTCTGACACAACAAGGAGAAGGAACCTGGATATATATATATATACAATAGCAACAGAGTAAATGGTAGAGGACTTAAGAAGCAAAGATCACACACATATATAGACAAGCAAAGTATTCGTAGTTAGCACTATATCATAGTTATATGTCTGCGAAGCATATATTTAAATACCAAAAATTGTAATTGCTAAGCTCTCTGTGTGAGAGAGAAAAAGAGCAGAGGATGTAATATATGCTTGTAAGGAGTTTATGTACTATCAATATATAAATCACAATCATAATGAGGAATGGTATGTTTAAAAGTATGCATGCTCAATTACGTACAAAACGAGTAGGTGTTTTTTCAAAGGTGGATGAATACGGGAACAGATGACAATGATGGAATATATGAACTTTTGTTTTCAGAAAAACCTGAGTGTCTCCCGATGGGGGCGAACCCAAAAGAATTAGCAAAGCGGATGGGGATCCAACCTGTAAATCACAGAATATGATTCCAAATTACAGGGGAAGTCTTTGTATTAAAGAACACTATATGCTTAACATAAACGTTAATACTTAGTGCTTAGCACAGATTTGACCTTGTGGTAAATGTGAGCTCCGGGAGGAAATCTTTCATGGGCAGGTGGTCTGAAACACAATGTCATTTCCTGGAAAACAATACGGGGAAAATCGGGAGCCATAACAAGCAAAATCAGGTTGAGAGTGTAAATACAAAGAGAAAGACTAATATGATTACCGTGATTGTGTTGCACATGTAATCAGACAACGCGCAGTTGAAGCTCTTGCAGAAACCTCTGTAAACCTCCGTTATAGTCCGTGGATCAGGTACGGCGGCAGCGTCAACAGCAGATGGCAAACAGAGTTCTGGGTCATCGTGGAAATACAATGAAACATTTAGCTGGAGCCCCTTCTTCTTTACACACTCTGCAACTGCTAAGTATCCTGAAAAATCAGATTTGCCTGCGTATTTGTGCTCAATCAATCGACATGAGTTTGGGAGCTGAATATCATATGTGTCGACCGGTTATAAATTGTTTACAAAATCAGGGATACCTAGAGTTTCTTTCACGTTGAGCAAGTTTGAAGCTGAGGACAATGGAAGCCCGACACATAAGTGCACGCTTTGAAGCTGCAGTAATGTGGGACAAAAAAATAAACCATGTATATAAAATCTTTCTGCCACTAATCATGAGTTTAAAATAAAGTCACCACTTGTGTCGTTGAAAACATATTCAAATAATGATAAGTTATTTAATACACAACTATTTACAAATATGCACATCATCACATCAGCAAAGATGAAATGAAAACAATGAGAAGGGGAAAACCATAAACCAGGAGAGAGCTGGTGTGTGTAACCAATTATAAGTTTGTGTACCTAAGTTAGTCAAGGTAAGTGGCCACCAGAATCAAAATGTTGGACGGTGCTATGAAGAAGGAAATGAAGTGCGTAAATAAACGTTTACAAATTGAAGATGTAAATGCAGAGACTAAGTACCTTTCCCTCTCGTACAGATGTCAATGGTGCATTTAGTTGCTGCTCAAGGTGCTGCAGATCTTTCATGCTTAGAATATTGAACTCCTTACCATGCATGTGTCTGCAGAACAGAGAAAGACAAATCCATATAATCACAAATTTGGCTGGTGCTTAAAGGGAATTTATGTTATAACAAAGTGGGGGTTCGGACCCATACAACTGGCTCTCTTGAAGCTTTGTAAGCCCGTCGTTTGAAAGGGAAGTCCTTGCACAATCTTCCTGAACCATATATATCAAATGGTAAGGGAAATCAATAATCACAACTGAATCTGTTATATGGGAGAAATATTAAACAAACCAGTGTAGAGGTAGTGTGAATATCTAGATCGAACAATTGAGAGTTGAAGATGATATATTACGTATCAAGTTTTCAGCCTAGAGTTACGTACAGACGTCTAAAAAACGACGAGGTATATTCAGTGCTTTTATTCAGTTTGAAAGCTAAAGATACATGTGTGTTCTATAGATGTAATACACATAAGATACGGCTTACATAGTTTCACAAACGGTTCCTATGAATTTGTTCACATCCGAAATATAAACCGTAAAAGAAATAACAAAATATGGAAGTTGCCACCAACTAAATGGCGCAATTACTCTATTCTCTAATGAGTGAGGAGTAACCATAAAAACAGTATACATGAATGAAAATAAAAAAACAATACGATTTCAACATGGCCGAAGAGTGGCTGACCTCTGCTTTAGAAGTAATGAGAGGGGCTTGTGAAGAGAGCTGGTAATTCTGGTATCTCATAAGCATTTGGGTCATGCTGCACGACAATTGTGAAATTACATGGAGAGCAGAAGGGAGGTGAGAGTAGAGACGCTTATTCGGGGATTCATTATTCCTCTCAGGTGAGATAAATTAAGAGACGTGGACTACTAATACAACTAAGTGGAAAGCCGGCTTAAGGATGCACAGATCAACGCAACGCATGGAAATTGAAAAATGAGAAAGAGTAATTATGAATACCTGGTGCTGGCGAACTGGAAGAGCTTGCCAGACTTGGAGAAGACGATGACCGCGACCTCGGCGTCGGAAAGAGTACAGAGCTGGCGAGCATTCTTTACCAACCGAGAACGCATCTTCGCAAAGCTAGCTGGCCGGCGATTCGCCTGAGCAAGTCGCTTAATCACGAGTTTGCGACGAATCATCTCAATTTCACAATCGTGAAGCACAAAATATGGGAGAATGAAGAAATTTTTGAGGTGATGAAAGTGCACAAATTTGGCATAGATCAACAGGTGAGAATGATTTTGTAGGCATTTCGAGATAAGGAAGTCCAGTCGGCAAAGTGATTGATTACTGGAAAGAGTGGGGATTAATTACAGGCGTTAAGAATCTGAACAAGCGAGGCAGACGTAGTGGTAGCAATTATCATTGCTTGAGAAAAGATGGGTATACCGTACCCGACGAATGTTTTTATTAAAATTGTGGTCCAATTGTAAATGTCTTTTGTGGATTATTAATGGGCTGTGTTTTAAATGTGGATTTCAGAAACCCAGCTTGTCATCTTAAAAGTTTTGATAATTTAGAAGGTGTTGTACACGAATTAAGACCAACGGGGAAGTGTTTTTAAATATACATCAAAAGGTGGACACGTGGCCTCCTTTCACGTGCTGACGTGGCGGAATTATGGAGAGAGTTGGCGTAGATTCATATATATAATTTTTTAAAATATGTTTCCAACACGTTTTCGATTCCTTTCCAAATCTCGTACAAATTTTCATGAACCTAGCCTATAAGTATATTTTAAGTATTTAGTATTTATTTAAACGAATATCATAAATGACAACTACACAAAACCAATATTTGTCTCCTTAGATATCTAGCTAATAAACAAACACAAGGAACCCAAGATGTAATAAAAATCTTACCCTTTAAACTTCTTGTTGTTCTCTTGATCTAAACTTCCAAACAAACTAGGTGTCTTGCCCGCATCTTACACGGACCCCCGAGAGGTTTAAAATTGTAAAACATAATTTTATATAATATGAATTCCCATCCCTCCCTCTCTATATTTATAACTTAGATCTCCTTAGGTTTTCTCTTCTTTTTCTTTTTCTTTTTCTTTTTCTTTTTATCTTTAAATTAATGATAAATTCTACAATATGGCTTTAGCCTTATCTCTTCAACTTCTCCTTCTCTCTTTTGTTCTCTTTGTTACCTTCAAGCCATTGTCATCTCTTTTTTCCACTTTTTCATATCAATCATCACACATTTCTTTGCCACCCAATTATCTTTTCTTGTTTCATCCATTGTTTTCGCTTCCGTGTTTTCTTCACGCATTTCAGTCAGGGGTTCAGACCCGTTTTAGTAGTATCGAATTCAATGTATGAGTGTTCAATCTCTGTTGGCTCGTGTTCAAGTAAACCAGTAAACTTCAGAAACACATAACAAAATTTTTAACATAGAAACCTATTCGAGATTTCATCTCATTCTTCAACTCTTCTTCGAAGATACAATATAAGCTTTATCTTCTAAGATTTGGGTTTTAGAGAAGCAATCAAAGAATGGACTGTTCTATTTTTTAAGCAACGGAGTTATACGACACAAAAATTACTTTGTACACATCGAAACATATCAGAAATGCAACGTCTGAGTTTGTCATTCTTCAATTCACAAGAATTTCAGTCATCTATGTTTCTTAGATTCTGGTGTCACAGGATCATCAATTTATTATGTACACTGATGAAGCCCGGAACACTAAAAGTGTAGTTCCAACAAGCTGAAACAAATTAAATTACAAGGATGATAAAAATTACAACCTGAATATTTCTCTAGCAAACATTCTTTTTCCTCTGTATTGGTGACTCTTCTTCCTTCAGCTGGTTTAATCTCTCATCAGGGGTTAAAAAAAATTGATGAGATCATAAACAAACGATGAAACTAAGAAGTGGGTCAGGGATTAACCATAGTATAATTCAACACCAATTGGATGGTGTCATTTGCAATTGGTTTGCACTCTGTTCTCAATACGATTGTTGTATATCAACACAAGAACTTGATGTGTAAAGATTATAGTCACACCGAATCTAGTCTCGTTGTCACATGCTTTTCTTTTGTTCTTTGAAGTTATGAGACATCACATTCCCTATCATCGACTTACCAGCAAAAATATTGCTTTAATGCCTACTAGATTTAGTCTTGAGAGTAATTTAATGTTTTTCTGATTATAGAATGTGTTGGGTAAAAATTAAAACTATAAAATATTTTTTCCAGAAACAACATAATTGCCTTTGGGCAAAAAAAATGGGAAAATTATAAAACAATAGACCTTGTTTTGTTCATGTTACATATTTTTAGTAAACTATAAAACCAAAACTAATCCGAACTGGTTACTTTTTTTTTTGCTTAAAAATGCATGTCCACACAAGCTACCACGAAAATAAACATAAACAATAATATAAAAAAAATATATAATAGAACCCAAGGAGAAACTAAAACATGAAATATACACACACACAAAAAAACTCATTTATATGGTTTTGATCCTTCTAAAAAGATAAAAATAATAAATTAGAGAGTTTACGAATATCAATAAAGCAAATTAGAAATTTTAATAATTTGTTGAACAAAAAAAGAAGTATTAATGATTTATTTATAATTACCTGTTAGATTCATTTGAAGATATGATTGCAAAAGTTTGAATCAATCACCTATAGTTTGCGGGATGAACTCTAGGTTCAAGGAAGACAATAAAAAAGTTCAGGTCAATCTATATTTACGAATAATAACTCAAATATATCCATAGGAAAAACTTAATAAAGAGGAACACAAATATCTAATATGGAAGCAACATATTTTATATCTCTATATGAGTAGACATTGACATAAATGAACCTTTATTCGTAAGATATTACAGAATATATTACATAAATAAATCTTTACTTAAAAAATATTACATAAATAAATTTTTATTTAGAAGATATTAGATAAATAAACTTTACAAATATAGAAAGCTCAACTAAATATTCTTTTGTAAAAGATAGATAAACATAGAGCTCACATATTTGTTTTAAATATATATGGATATAAATCAAAAGTGTATTTAATTTATTTACTGATTGTGGTCGTGTGGTGAGGGTGTCAAGTTTTACCCTAAATAAAATCAATAGCCGCAAGTGCACAGCTGATCGATTGTAGTACTTAGGGATCGAATCCACAGGGAAGGAGGATCTTTCCTGCAAAAGCCTTCGAAAGAAATATAAAGTAAGGAAGTCTAGAACCAGGCGAGTTTTGTGAGGGTTTTGGTGGTGTGTTTAAAACGTAAAAACGAATCTTAAAGAGAAAATACGGGAATTAAAATGACCTAATAACTAAACTTAACGAAAACGAGTAAAAACGAGAAAAACGGTTAAATCTAATTGCTTTAATAAAAATCGATTGGGAGAATGAAAATACTAGACTAAAACTTGAAAGAAAATCGGTGTAAATCTATAGGAAAGAAAGCGCTGGGGTTCAGGAAGTTTTCTCAGGGGTATGAACGATTCAAAACATTGCTAGAGAGTAAATTTGATAAGATCTTAGTTTAAACTTTTCGAACTGGAGTCACGGACGTATGAATATGCCACTGTTGTGATCATAGACAACTATCTCTCTTAACTCTGACCAGTAGGTTTCCACTCTGGCCCTAGAAAAGAAGAGGTGCATTATGTTTAAGACTCGTCAGCATTCACAAATCGCCCATAGGTAGGTTTCCACTCCTATATTTGTTTTGCTCTCCCAAACTAGATCTGACACCGGATGAACACTTTCGTGTCACCAAGCATCTGGATCAGATTGTAGTTCATGACGATACTCTCATGCAGTAAAAACGAATTCAGAAGAAAAAGTTCTAAGATTCCGCTCAAAAGCTCATGGAATCCTCATCGAACATATATAGCCCCATCGAAAATCCCTTAGACCCAACAATAAAACTACTCAGACATGATAAACGAAATCAAAAACATAGTATTAAAAAGTAGTACAAAAACCGAATTTGAAAAAGAAAGAATAAGGGTTCAAGAGATAGATCTCTCTCTCTCCCTAAAACCTAAAAACAAAGCTTAAAGTAAAATTTCTGTAAAGTATTTCGTCTCTCTTCTTCTCTCCCTAAAAACGACCTAAATGACATGTATTTATAGTCTCCAATACTCTCTAGTGTCTAGGGTTCCAGAATTGAGGCTGGGAAAATGATATGGGCTTCAAAAATGGGCCTTCAAACTCGGAGTTAGCTGGCCGCGGTCGGGAAGTGCGTGACCGTGGGGAATGGATGGCTGGCCGCGGTCAGGATGGTTGTGACCGCGGGGAATGACCTGTTGGCTGCGGGTGAAAACGCTTGCTGGCTGGTTTATGGGACATCTTGCTCTTCGCGTATCTTTTGATTGAACCGTTGGATTGCCAAGCTGTAAAGTGTGCTGGAAAGCTGATACTTTCATCTTTAAGATCTCCAAATTTGAGCTGGATCAGACGGTGAGAAGGCCTTCAATCGGGGGTGAACTTCTGACGGTTTGACTATGAGCTAAAAATCTGCTATTTTATCCATTTTGTTAAGCTTTTCCCTAAGTTTCCTGAAAAGAGTCTTGGAACTACAAATACAAGAAAAACATGATAAAAGTACTTAAAAGCAATTAAAAACATAGAAAAAGTATTTCAAAACGATCCATAAAAGTGGTCAAAATCCGGTGTTATCAACTCCCCCAGACTTAAACCTTTGTTTGTCATCAAACGAAGTAAAAGTCTAAACTGGTTAAGTGAAAACAAAAAGTAGGGAATGCACAAATCTCAGAGACATGAACTCCTAAACTAGGACCAAAGATAGTGCATCAATCCACAACTTAGTCTCGAAAATTCTCACCAATACACAAAAGATACTAGTCCACTTTTTCCGTCATGCAAAACTTAAACAATCTAAATCTTGATTCCAGTCAACTAGCTTTCTACATTCATTAAGTTCAATAGTGAGTTCTCATTAAAGATATCATCCAGGGTAGACGGCGTTTGACATTAAAAGGTTGTTTAAGTGGTGGAGTTAAAGTGTTTCGGGTTTCCTGATAAATCTGGAGGATGCAAGATAATATGCAAAACCGCAAGAGA